ATTTTTTCTATACAATTATAATTCCTTTTGTTTTGAATTATGGTTATTTTTGTATGGTTTTAATTAAAATAAATAAAGAAAATATAATCATTACTTTATTATATTTTATATCTATTAATAATCCTAAAATTTTAAAAATACTATACATACATACAGGGGCGGATACAGCTTAAGCTGGTTGGGGTCCTGGGCCCCCAACAAAAAATAAATAGGAAAGCCCAAAAAAAAATTTACTTGTATTTTTTTTAGATGTAATTGGGCCCCCAACAAAATGAGGTAGGAGGCCCCTTTGAATTGCAGGAAACGAGTCTGTGAAGAGTGAAGACGTGAAGCAGCGCTGAAGTGGGTTTCGTGTGAAGACATATCACATACGCATACGGCAGCATACCGAATCGATTAGACGATTACCGCATACGACATACGACTTACAAGCTCAATTCTTCTTCTTCAGTTCTTCTTCTCCTGTTCTTCGTCCAGATCCAGTGGCGCTGTGGCCTGTGGCGGACGGCGAGGAGAGGGCGAGAGGCTGCGTCTGCGAGCCTGCGACTGGCGAGCCGCGAGTGGCCACGCCGACTACCGACTGCGAGGAGAGGCTGCGAGCCTGTTCTTCTTTTCTTCTCCTGTAAGTTTATTTTGTTCTCGCCTCTTTTCTGTAAGTTTATTTTGTTCCTTTGAGGCTTTGACAGTTTGACTACTTGCCTACTTCTAGTTCTAGTCTTTTACTTGGTTTGAGGCTTTGACTGTTTCTGTTTGACAGTTTGACTACTTCTAATCAATTAGTAGTATTTTAGTTTTTAGGTTAATTTTGTGGTGATTGGTAAATATTTTAGGTTAATTTTGTAGGTTAATTTTGTAGGTAATTTTGTTATTTTTGTAGGCAATTAGGCAAATCAAATGGAAAGATTTTTTAAAAGGAAAGCATCAACACCTGAATCGAGCTCTGCTCCTTCGATGGCTTGCGAAATTGATTTGAACGATCTTCCTTGGTAAAAAAATTTTATAACGTGCCCCCTACAATATATTTTTCTGCGTCCGCCACTGCATACATATATACATACATACACATATACATCTACATACATACATACATACATACATACATACATACATACATACATACATACATACATATGTCCCTTCCGGGACATCCGATAAAATTGGAACGATACAACATACATATATGTATACATACATATATATATATATATATATATGTATATACATACATACATACATACATACATACATATGTATACATACATATATATGTATATACATACATATGTACACATACACACACACACACACACACACACATATATATATATATATATATAGATTCATTTGAGAAGTGGTAAACATTTGAAAAGTAAATAAGTTATCAAAACCTTTCATCTAGTTAACATTTGCGCTTTGACTATGAAGTACCAGATAATTCATCACATGAGTATATGGAAGATAAATGGGTACTTTCGTAACTTTTACAAATAGGCGGCAAATATGTTCATATGTGAACTCATGTGATACACATATAAACTATATGTGAACCCATGATAATTGATTCATAGATGGACCAACAGGTTCATATATGAATCAGTTAATTAGTGTATATGTGAATCAATTAAAATATTTTATATGTGAATTATACGAGTTCACATATGAACATATAGTTTATATGTGAATCACATAGGTTCATATATGAACCCGTTTGTCGCCTATTTGTAAAAGTTACGAAACTACTCTCTATATTTTCTTGCATATCCGTAACTTTTGACCAATCAAAGCCGTAATTGTTGACCAGTTAAAATCGCAAGTATTGACCAGTCAAATCCAATCTTGACCGTATGAATGACTAGCTTCTTTATTTCTCAGTTATTTACCACTTGTCAAATTAACATTTGACTATATATATATATATAGAGAGAGAGAGAGAGAGAGAGAGAGAGAGTGAGTGAGTTAAAAAAATAAAAAAACCAATTCTACATTGTAAGCTTAAGGACAAATCTTGACCCAAGATCTCTATTTGATACAACAATTCACATTAAATAGATTTTTTAATTAAAATTATTAACCATGGTGATTATTAGTTAAAAAAGGAATTCAGTTTCAATCATTTCAGGTTTAGTTATATTAGTTTTTCATTTTTTTAATTAAAATTTTTTATCGCCTTAATTTTCAAACTAAGGGGGTGTTTGGGATTGCTTATTTAAAACAACTTATGCTTTTTTGTAAAAGTGCTTATTAACTTATG